CATCCACAAACATTTGACAGTTCTGCGAAAACGAATGGCGTCGGTAGACCACATCAAAGATTTTAGGACGAAAAAGTTAGTTTTTTGCGTTTACTTAGTTTGTTTCACAAAGAAAAATGCAGTATGAGTTGATAAAATGGATATGTAGTATTGTTACGCATATATTTAGCATTATTTTACCATAATATTGATGTCATAATGTTTACGCAAAGTAGCTGTATTTTGAGGTTACAACTTAAATGACAATATGTTTTGAAAGAGCCACTGGTGGAGGCTCTGAAAGAGACGGCTCTTTCATGACACGAAAACTGGCTCTTTCAATACATTACAATCTATTAGTTTTGAATTGCCGTCTATTTAATATTGTATTTATTTCTGGCTAAAGAAACATGTCCGCGCAAGCATCTGGAAGGAATAAGAGACAACGGCCTACACCTGCCGCAGTAGAAGAGGCTGTAACGGCATTGACCTTTGGCATATCCAGGGCCTTTTTGGCGAAAATTGTTAAAAAGCCTCGGAATTCTGAGGAGGGGTATGTGTATCACCCTAATATAGGTAACAAAAGCATTTTTTCTAAACATCAAGAAGACTTATTGGTTATTATTTGTTATTATTATTGGTTTCATATTTAAAAACTGCGTCTAAAATGTGCAACGGCTCAACGAAAAAACAAACAAGAGAGTTTGCACTCCAGTATGCTGTTGCAAATGCTATGTGTGCAGCAAAATGAAATGTTGATAAAATTGCATGCGTGGCATGGCATCAGAAAGCCTGAGAGCACTTCTTTGTCCAGAGCGACAAACTTCAACAAGACAAACGTCAGCACATTTTTTCGAAAAACTGACTAACCTTTACGAAAAGCATAATTTCCAACTACATATGATTTTTAATCCAGACGAAACAGGATACAGCATCGTTTTAAATTATCCTAGAATCACCGCTGAAAAAGGATCAAAACAAATTGGACAAGTTACTTCTGTCAACATTACAAATCGCAAGCCCCGAAATTGTAAGACCTTTTCTTAAATCAGGCGCCAGAATGAGTTTAAAACAAAATAATTGTAAAATTTCATTAGCTGTAATCACTGATACTCCGGAAAAAAATCGAGAAAGAAAAATAAACCTAGAAAAGTTNTACTGAAATTTGATTTTAATTGAAAACTCATTCAGGTTTGACAAACATGATCCCTTTAAAGAGTCGACTAGATCATCTGATATGATGCCTCTAGATGTTTTTGAGGAAATTACATCTCAAGTGTACGAAACACAACCGCGATTCATTATAGAACTCGTGGACATAAAAAAAAGATGCTTGCCACGATATTACCCCAAGAATACTACTTCACCATCTTCATACAAAGAAATATAGGAATCTTGTAAATAGATTATTTTGAAATTAACTGCTATATTCCTTTCATCCGAAGATCCCCACTTGTTTGTATGAAGACGGAGAAGTAGAAAGCCAAAACTTTCCTTTCTCAAAAATTATTGTGTCCTTAAAATATGTCACTTTCAATTCACACTATTTATTACATTTCTTCTCAAAAAATACTGAAAATGATATCTTGTTCCGTTCAAAAGTTAAGAGGGGGGGACTACTTACGCCCAGACTGTTAGGGTTGAGTGGAAGAACAGTTCAGTTATTGAATTTATTCAGGAACTGAACTGAACTTCGCCTAAAAAAGTGTGAAACTTCCAAAGAAAGGGAGAAAGCAAATAATTTCTAAATGAACTCTATACAGAGATGTGTAGTTCATGTAAAGAAGTAACTTTCAGACACCAACTGGAAGAGAAAGTCCTCTGGAAACAACTTCTTTCATATAAATATTGAATTAGGCGAAATACAAAATATTTTCGAAACAACTACTTTTATATAAACATTGCATTTTACAAAAAAACATTTTAACGTTTCCCTATTCAGTTTGTACTCCAAACATCTGTTATGGAATTGAATCAGATATCATTCACAGGATTGCTACACAATATAGTATATGAAAGAGGTAAAATTTCATTTACATGGAACACTGTCATCTCAATGGCGAATATTCGATGTTTCAGAATAAGACACCGGCATTATTGCCTTTTCAGTACGATCTGGATAAAATTATAAAATGAAGCACTCATTTCATTCATAAAATCACGATGTTATGTCACGGATGAGTTAAATCTACTCACCTCATCGATGACAGTATTAAGATCATTTTGACATTATTTGCTTTCTTCTCTTCTTTGGAAGATTCCCACTTTTTTGTATGAAGATGGAGAAGTAGAAAGCCAAAACTTTTCTTTCCCAAAAATCAATATCTCCTAAAAGTATACCCGTCCCAATTTCATCAAGAACTGTATCATTCATTGCCAAAAGATGCCTGATTTAGCACCCTAACATTCAAACCACATAAAATACCACGATCATTATTATTATCAGAACCAACGGAAACATATCCGGAATTAGTCAACAAATTATTTTTTAATGATCTACTACGTGCAATGCTCAGTCTATATCGGTATGAGTTTATGGTGCGACTATTCGTGAAAAATTTACTGTGTTTTTGTTTGAAGTGTTTTCATCAATATTCAATGATTTAATTAAGAGCGATACAGAGTGTTAGTGTGAAAATTTTACACCTTGAATTTTTTTTTTCTAGGAAATAGTATACGAACTCTGAAAACCACGTTAGTTCTATTTTTAAGAAGAAAAGTTTCAGTATATATCTCTTTCCAACCCCCTACAAGTGGGTAATGAAGTCTATCTAGAGCGAATTAGATTCATCAACCAGTATCTTACTTGAAACTTTCATTCTCATCTACAGTCAAGGTTATTGATAAAATAGCTCTGAGACAATTTACGGGTCATGAAAGTGAATTATACAGTGAATTTGTGATTTTTAAACATTAGTAAAAACTAAAAGAAACCTATTGGCCCGAAAATAGAAGTATATACATTTTAACTAACTATTTCCTGTGTGTCGCTGTCACTTCAACCTACAGACACTTGTATGTCTTGTTTTGAAGGATCTAGTGGATTTGGTTGAGATCAGGTTGAGCCTTTCTTCTTCCGGACGTAATATGAAAGATTTTATGCATGTCTTCCATCAGTATATCGTTACATTTGCCCTGAAATAGGAAGACTAAGTTGTCTGCCTAGCACTTCACTATTACGGTCTAGAAGACGTAGTAGCCGGTATATTACAATGTATAAAGACAGTGAGGACAAAACTCACACCCAAAATGATAGTTACAAGTATCACCACTGTTTTTCCTCCAGTGGTTGTAATTTCCTGTGAGAATGCTGAAGCCTATCTCGTCGATACCTCTCATTCTCAACACCTGGATGATGATTCCTAGAACATATTAGCGAGTGTACCTTCAATATTTAAGAAAACGAGTGAAAGTACTTTCTTGTTTTTATAAACATATATAAATTAATTGCTTTCTTCCTTTCTTTGGAAATTTCCCACAATTTTTTGTATAAAGATGAGAAGTGGAAAGCCTTTTTTTCCCAAAAACTAATCTCTCTTGAAAATATAGCCTATACGCCCACGATCCGTTTCGATTTCCATGATTCGGTCTGAAGGAGGTTATATTCGGTCTTCTTCTACCAAAGCCAAACTTGCTTTGACAATTATACACATTGAAGTTGCTTTTCGCAGCATTTTTAGATAAATCCCTTCTGATTCCAGTGATTTATATAGGTAATGAGTTTACGGTATATTCATTCTCCAAATCTACCTTCTTCTCTGTAAGAATTTTAATTATAACGAAAAAAGTTAAATATTGCTGGAGGTTTTTTCCAACACCAAACAGTTATTTCAGAACCTCGACACGTGTTTCGATCACCAAGATCAAACAGTATGATCTTCCTCTTGAAGGCGGCTTGGTGTTGGGAAAAAACTCCAGTAATATTCATTATTACACCAAAGGTTCCAAACAGTGTATCATTACAAGTACCTACGAAAAAAGTTAATCCCTCCTCAGAATTTAATTTTGATAACCAACCATGTTTCCTATTGATAAGCTCTTTATGAAAAAACATGAGAGTTCATTATGAGATCTCTGTATCTTTATCTGTAGAGTAGGGAGGGTGAGTGTAAGCCCACAGCACTTAGGCCACATGTGACCCATTGTACATCCTCCCGAGGAGTTGTCCTCCTAGGTCATCGTCCATCCTGTCCTTTTCAGGAAGGTGGACAGGTCACTGGGAGACATCTCCTTTATATCGTCAGGTGTAGGCTAAGACGAGCCGAACACACACTCTCTTATTGACGGTAACTCCAAGCACTCGCATAGGACATGCCTCTCACGTCTCATCTTCCTGTTCACACATCCTGCATAAAGGTGTGTCCACTGGTCCCATATTATGGAGGTAGTAAGTCAGAAATCCTACTGTTAAGCGTAGATTTTTCCTGGTCACCGCCAGATATTTCTTCGGCGCCAGCTTCCCAGGGTCGCCCAAGGTGATCCTGGCAAGACTGCATCCTTTGATTCCATCCCACCTCTTTAGAGATTGAGCATGGGTGTAACACTTGGCTGGTTCCGCAATTGTCGAAGTCATCATGCCGTAGTTGCCACAGGGTCATAAAATTCTTAGTCCAGCCGCTTCCTTGGCTGAAGAGTCGGCAATGCGATTACCTTTACTCCTGTCGTGCTCTTTTACCCACCTCAGGATAATGTTATTATCTACCGAGGCTTTGGCTAAATATTGGTGACACTCTGGTACTAGCCCTGAGGTTACACGTTATCTGTTCAAGGCTAATAGAGCTTGTCTGCTGTCAGTGCAGATTGTTATGTTTTTGCCAGAAATTCCTTTCCTGGTTATTTCTTTTGTGGCGATTGACATAGAGTCAGTTTTGTTTGGACCACGCTGGTATTTTTCCCATTCCCCACTTAATCCTTTGGCTCAGTGATATAAAGACAAATATATATTCTCACTCAGAAACTGAGAAGTTAAGAACATATTTTCAATGGAACTTTTCTTCATAACATAGAACATACCTCTTGAAATTAATGACAGTATTCAAGAAACACTCTGTAAATAATTCAACATGCCTTTCAGCGCGAATTATTTTTTCACTCCGCCTACACATTAATAAAAAGTGAAAGTGAAAGTTCTTTATTTATACAATGCAGAACCTAGTGACTCTCAAGGTGAAAGATGATTTATCTTACAACACTTTCGATAGACAGCGAGAAGAAGAAGAATCTAGGAAACCCAATAAGTCGTGCAATATATTCCGGTGGTGTTCTTTTTGTTCATGCTGTAGTAATCCGGTATGCGGATGTGGTTCTAAAGAAACTGTTTCGGATGATGACGATTTAGAATATGCAATGCTTAATTACGTTCAGGTATTGGGTTACTTTTTGTCATTTAGATTGAAATTACAATTTTAGATTGAATTGTTGAATGGAATCTTGACCTTCCAATGCGGATTCAAACATTTAGTTCATTATTGTATTCAAGAATTAACGGTTTTGATTATATTATGGTGTTGTGAAGTAACTCTACACGCCCTTTTATGATTCGATGGTCCCGTCCTCGAGATCACACTGTGGTTTATGTTTCACACCCTTTTTAGCGTAATATTTATCTACAGAATCAGGAAAAACCTCTGACTTATGTCTGTATCTCCTCACTGTCCTATTCATTATTTTTCTTACCCTCGTGCAGGCAAAGTTTTATCAGCTCAGTGAACAGTATCAAAGTCAGGGTATACAGCAACAAATTTTCCAGCCATCAGAAGATCCTACCAAACCAAGGAAATTTGGTGTTCTCTGTTGAAGCCTTCCTTGGGCCAAGGCCTAAAATTGAAGCAAAGGAAGGGTCAGAAATAGCTCCAGAATTAGCTGTACGTTGGGAGTCATACCTTTCAAATGGATTAGACAAAGAGGTTCGAAAACAGTTAATGGAACAGTGGACTGTGCTCCAAAGCTGTAAAAGTTTACAGGCTCCGGGTCCATCTCTAATATACCTGTAAAAACAAGTGAAATAATAGGGAAAGGTATCACAGTCGAAGGAAAAAATCTTAGAATATTGCGACACTGATGCTTCAAATACCGAAACCTTAGGGGACTATGGAATGTTACTAACAGATATGTTTCACAATATTGCAATACACTGAAATTATCAAATCCATAAATATTCCAATGATGCTGTAAAAAAATGGCATCCCAACGAAACATTGACACCTATTTGTTGGTTTCCTACTTTATCGAGAACTGTAAATTAGAAAAAAATGGTGGAAAACACACCTGAGGATTTGATCAAAAATAAAAAGCAACAATCATCAACAAGTCAGCATTCGAAATCACGGCATACGAACTACAAGAAAAAATGGAGACCGAAAAAAGGGGGGAGAGCGGTATGTGACTTACAACAGACAACTGAAGAAGCCGGTGAAAGGCCGGAAACACCTGGAACAGTACATAAAGTTAGATAGGCAATGAATGAAAACCGAGATGAATGAACCACATAGAATAGAAGTGAATAACAACAAACTTGAAATAATTTTTTGTGATAGCAGAAATAATTTCTTTCTGGAACCATATTTTGACGTTTGTATATATCAGTGACGCCATATATATTCCGCCATATATATGGCCGTTGATTTTCAGTCGAGCGCATTTGGCCAGACTCCTCCTGTCCATAGTCAACAGAAGCTTCGTCCGGGGGCGAAGCTGTCTTGCTCGAGACAATGCCGCCATCATAAGTTTTCTCATTCGTTTTTTTTTCTTTTATATAAAAAAACTTCATTTTTTTACTAGGAGCCAGTCCTCTCAATGTGACTTTCACAAACAACGTACATTTTTTCAAATAATATATCGTGGTGACTGATATTTGTTAACAATTTATTTGATAAATAAAAGTGGTTTTTACATATCACTTTGAGTACGTTTGTAGAATTTGTGGTTAGTTGACGGTATGTGTTATTTATTTATTCATAAACTAAAATAATTTTTTACATTATGATTCAATGTGTGATAAGTTTACGAATAAACCAATAATAGATACACATAATGATTAGTAAAATTTAATGTTTCTTTAAATAATCTTAAAATTCATCGTCATGCCCATACATGATGATAGTATTAAAATGAATTTCAATGAATATTTGAAATAAAAATAATTGACATATATCTAACATTTTGGAAATTTTGAATAGTTCTTTTGTTGGGTATATTTTGGGTTTTCGGTAGATGGTTTTCAATGTATATTTTTGGGTAGCTTCAAGTGCTGAGATATGAGTTCTCAAAGCTGCACCCCATGCTATCATACCGTAGGTTAAATAGCTTTCTATTAGTGTGGAGTATATTATACGCATTTGTTCGGTGTTATAAATGGAGGTAAGAATACTCAATTTATGTAATATACTTCTCAATTTTTTTATTACGAAGTTGATATGAACATCCTGTTTCAGGTTGTTTTAAAGAAAATTCACTTTTTGGCACACTAGGGAATTTTTTGCCATTGAATATATCACACCATTCAAAGCAGGTATTTGTACGACTTAATGAATCCAGTTTTATAAAAGTAATCCACTTCATGAACGGTTTTGTGTTATCAATAATGTTCGTTGAGTATGGCGTTTACAAAGGCATCAATGTTGGTTTTAGTAACATCAGTTGTTGGAAATCCTTCTTTGAGATACCGTCAGGTTTAGACGCCTGAACCGTGGACCGTTATTAATGCAGTCTATAGTTGGGTGTCGAACTAAATATGTTGAATTTCGATTTTATTAATCTCGGAGCCATTATTTCTCACTATGTATTTCTTCGTTTCAATAATTATTATCTTACTGATTGATTTCATCATTGATTTGTACTCATGTTTCTCTTATATTTCTTTACTTGGCGCTCACTGGTAACTAGAATCCCTTTAGTTTTTAATTCCAAAATAAAAAAGGGGTTTCATTCGTTTTCATGCACAATGGAATGGAATCAAAGAGGACAATCGTCGAAGCTAGATCCAGATCACAGCAAACAATGAAAATGTACCCATTGTCTTTTCAAACGGTGAAAAAGTGACGAAGTTTCTTTGTGTTTGTATACAGTCTGTCGGTATTGTGGAAAGTTCAATTCATCAATTCTTATTTGAATTTTGAAATGAAATGAGATTTGAATAAAAATCATTTGTTGAAATCATNCTGAGTTGAAATTGATACCAAATTCAAATTTCGAGTGAATCTATCAGCAAAAAAATCTCATATGATCTTAGTTTTATCATTATTGAAAACCTTTTCCTTGTATAAAAACTGGAAAATAATTTTCAGTGTAACCTATGTTAGATGAGAGGAAATTTCATTATCATCGATGGCTCGACATGTCTACTAAAGAAACTGCTGCAAAATAATTACATGAAGATCAGAAGATGAATAGATAAGTACAACACACCGCGCTGATGAGGCCAATAGCCAGAAACACGAGTCTGCGGTTTGCCCCCCTTTTTGGAGTGTTGTGTCCACGAATTGTTTCACTTTTGATTTGTATCATGCACACTCGATAAAAATATCTATGTATATATGTTATCAAGTTTGAAGCAGATAGTCACCAAAAATAGGTGTCTTTGTAGAAGTTATCAAGTTTATTAAAGTTACCTCTTCAAGTCGTTTACTGATAGTTTCATTGCCTAAATTCTCTGCTCAACAACCTTTTCAATGAATTAAAATATTTGAAAACATACTAGATTCGTTTCATGATCGAAATTTGATATAATTTAGATGTATAGATCCATTCAACAGTTCTTCTAGTAGAATTGAATTGCCTTTTACTTGAATCCGAAACAGTTTCTCAACTATGACCTGCTAGGAAATTCGCTCGACACCCGAAGGTCTTAAAAATAAACGAATAATAGTGCCAACGAAAGTATTATCAGCCCACAAAGTGCTCCTTAAATGCAGCAGCAAATCTGGTACTACCAACGTCGTGGAAGAACAAGCACCAATTAAAAATTCATGCCCAGATGAAGAGGATCATAACAGGCTGTTGCAACGTGAAGGTAGTTGTTTGAATAATGCTTGTTGCTCCATGCTTTCTAACCGATTATTTGTTTGTTCATGGCATTTTGCATAATAAGGGTAATGGAACTTGCTGACTCGTGAAAATCTTGCGGATTTTCACATTTTGTTAGATAATACGGAATTATTGCTTTAATTATTCTTCAGTCTCATGCGATTTGAAAAGTCGTGTGAGTTCGAAAGTTGCTTACTTTTCCACAATAATCACGTGAATTGAAATTTGATATTTTATCACATTTTAATGAGTGTATTGTATTAATTATGGAAACCACCTCAAGAATATTGTATTGTGAATTATTTTATAATATCTACATTAGCTAGCAATACTATCAAGTCATCTGAGGTTAAATACAGTGAAACTTGGCTAGAGGAAAGGTCAGGTGCATTTTGAGTTCATTTCGTGAAATATAAGGATCATGACTTCTTGTCGTAACATTTATAATTAAACAGTAATAAATAAAAACAAATTCAAAATTAAGGCAGAAAACATAATTTATAAACTGAAACAGTACATTGAGAAAAACACAAGAACTATAAAAATTAAAAAAAAACACCTTCAAGAAGAAATGGTTGACTAAATCTCTACTAAATCGAATCAATGAAAAAAAACACCTCTATTTATTAACCACATAGTATCCAAATAATATTATGGTGAAAGAACAATATAGAATTTGTAGGAATCTATTAAATAGAGAAATGAAATATACCAAGAAACATTACTGTAGAAAATTAATGGATCAGAAGCTCTCTGGGAGTGCATAAACGAGGTCAGTGGGAAAACGAAAACTGAAACAGGTTTAAAAATTATTGAAGCAAGAAATGGAGATTACATAACTGATGAACTTCTAATTGTCAATACATTCAATGATTATAATAGTGACTTGGGGAACATATAAGCAATCTTGAAAACACATTATATTTGAATCCAACAAATGAAACAGAGATCATTGCAGTGATAAAAAATTGAAACTGAAAAAATTTTTAGGGCATGACAATATTCGCTCCAAAGTTCAAATAAGTTCAAAAACATGAAAAATAGAGATAAAGGTCCTAAAAATATGAGCATTCGATTCGGAATCACCTTTAGAAAAATGTTTCTGAAGGATTTTGGTGCAGGTAAAAAATTGCAATTGTTATTAACAAAATAAGATTTTAAAAAATTGGTATTTAGTTTTTCGTTAATAACTCAAAAAATATTAATATTCAAGCAATTTTGAAAAAAGCTCGTTGAAGAGGAGGAAATTTCCGATAAAAAA